TTTTTATGAATATTTCAAAAAATCAACAAACTGTTTTTTAAAAATTAATTCAAAATTTTGACTTTTCTGCATGTTTCTCATAAAATTAGAAGATTTTGAAAAATTATTTTGAAAAAAAAAATGTTTTATTTAAAAAAAAAATCCTAATTTCGCGTGTCATTTTGGTCAAAAGGTGAAAAATGTTGATGACTTTTTTTTAACACAAGCAAACAAAAAGTTGGCATACCAAAAAAGTATATTTTTTCTGAATTTTAATCACAAAAATGGACATAACTAAGTATTTTAAGGCAAATGAGTGTATTTTTAGTCATTTTTGAAAAACTTATTTTCGGTGATTTGTTCAGGAACTTAGTATAGGTTTTTACTGAGACTTTTGTAAATATAAAAATGTCATAAAATGTCTTCAAATATATCATTAATGGGTCAAAAACAACATACTATAATATGACTTCTGCGAATAACTAAAAACAACTTTCATGACCTAAAATGAATGTTTCTATAGTTTATTGGTTTTGTACAGAAATTATAAATACATGAATGTGAAGCTTTCCTTACAGAACCTGCAGCTAAATACCCCCTGTCCCCTCCACTGTCCCCTGCCACCACAAACACCTTTGACCTCTGATTACTGTTTCCCCTTCTTTAAAATATATATTTAGAAAAACATGACATTTTCTTCTTTAAAGATGTCTGACAGCACAACAGAAAACAATGGGTTCTATTGTGACATATTTGTCACCCCCACAACCCCCACAGTGGTGTTGAGCATTAGCACAGGCACATCTCTGGCTACACGCTGCATTGGTGCTAAGTTTGGGCCCTCTAAAGTGACAAGCAGCCCTGAAAAGAAAAGAAAAGGAATCTCACAAATATGAAATCGTATTTAAGCCTAATCAGCGAAATTATGCTAAAAATATCTAATTTATATCACTGAATTAACCAGGGCAGAAATCATAACCAACTGTGACAGCCCAATCCCCCTTCTTCATCTCTAATGGTCTGGTATTTCTCTCAACATTTTCGGTATGTTTCATAAAAATGACACAGAACAGTGGGTACCTAAATAAGTTTGCATGGGGTTTTTTTTCTTGGGGAATATGTTCACAAAAAGACCCTGGCCTACAGACTCTACAGGTCAGTTGTGTCACTCACCTTCTATGATCTTGTGGTAGGCAAAGTGCAGGTAGAGCAGGAAGAGCATGTGAAGCAGAGACAGAGTTCCACAGAGCAGGAGCCTTGGCGTCTGACCCACAGTGCGAGACAGTAGAACTGCCACCTGACAAAATGACATATGGAAACAACCTGAGTTTGCCGTGGAGTGAGGGGAAAAGGCAGAGGATGTTGGGAGGTCCTTACCATGCGCAGCGTGGACAGTCCTCCAACTACAAGCCATAAAACGAAGAACAGATAGTGAAAATGGATGTTGTAGGTGACGAGGAGGACGACGCAGGGACCAAACAAACCATAACCCTGATGACGTGAAAAATAAACCAGATGGTGTTAATATCATGGACCACGAGTTTAACATAACATTATAACAATTATCACAAACACTGCCCCCCCCCCAACACACACACACAAAACATGTCTTTTCCTTCCTTTACAAAACGTACGGTCAACATCTTCAGAAAGAACTACTCTAAGAAACAGGGAAAACAGCTACACAGAACACTGTGTCCTCTTTGTGTGAGTGTGATTCCAACACTGACCATCAGGGACAGCATCTGCAGCATTGTGATCTGAGCGTTGACCAGGTAGGCTAAGAAGTAGATGAAGGAGGAAACACCGAGCCAGTAACCAAAACATGTTCCTATGGCTGTGCCCATCAGAGTTCCATTCCTCTGCAGAACAGGGTCATAGCATTAGAACCAAACAGAACCTCAGACAGTCTCAGCTCCGAACACTAAAGACTAGGTCTGGTTCTTACGATGGTGGTCCCTGACGTCTGCATGCCCTGCAACAGGATGGCGACCAGCGTGAAGACCAGCATCAGAGGTCCGTACAGCTCACCTGCAATTTTCTAAACAGGAAA